TTAATTTGGAAATTCGGGAAAGGTTGTTAAAGGTATATGTTTGGAGCACGGCGCTGTACGGGTGGGAAACATGGACAGTGGGCATGACGAAAAAGACAAGGTTAGAAGCGTTCGAAATGTGGTGTTACAGGCGAATGATGAGGATACCATGGATAGAGAAGGTTAGAAATGAAGAGGTATTAGAAAGAATAGGAGAACAGAGGACTCTATGGAAGTCAATAAGAAATAGGCGAGATAGGTTAGTAGGACACCTTCTCAGGCATGAAGGTCTAGTCAGAGACTATTAGAGGCAGAAATGGGAGTTAGGAGGGGTTGAGGTAGATCTAGATTAGATTACTGTTCGCAAATAGTTAAAGATATGGGTTGTTCTAGTTTTAGGGACGACCTTATGATGATGAAATGACGTGTTGACGGCATGTAGCACAATTTTATCATAGTTAGAATTTCAACCACCATATGTCACTATCAAAGTAGCGAGCTCGCAATAGGGCCATTTTCTTGCAAATGGGGTCACCACTTTTAACCTGTGCACTAGATAGATACATAAATATAAAACTCACTCATGTCTTGATATTTATTTTTCAATTATCATTCTATTTAGATTAAGTTCCCCAGTTCTTTCAAATTCTTGAGTGATATGTGTATCTACATACGTTAGTTTGTAAGTAAGTAAATAACCGAGAGACGAATGAAAATTTATTTTTGCCCGTGTCGATTAGTTTAGTATTCAATCCCCGTACTAAAACGCGTGCGTTATAATATAGAGTGGAAAGAAAGTTGCGCCCTGTGGGAAATTAAACGGCGAACGTTTTTACGTTCACATTATGTTTATTTAGCCAGCAAACGACGTCTACTTCGCAAATTGCAGACAGATGGGGTTCAGGAGCGCTGATAGGACTGAAACACCAAAATTGTTAGTTTTCGCGTTGATGAAACGTCAGTGGCGGAGGAATAAATTTATCATCATCATCATAAGGTCGTCAGTCCTATCTAGGAAGTCAGATAAGTCAGGACGAAAGGAGTAATAGGGATATAAAGCAGAGAATAGCGCAGGGTCAATATAAGAACAAAGGGTTTCACGGCCGGAACCCATATTGAATGAAGATTCGGGCTATAGGTCCGTGGTCTAAGTGAACTATTTTGTCCAGAAGAAGTCACTTCTATGCTCGCGAACGGTTAAGTTAGAATAAAATAATTCGAAGTGGTCTGTATTCTGTCGAAACTGCCAGACGCGGATCGCGATTTCGATGTTTTTGGATCTCATCAGATTATGGTAACGTGCCTATCACGTTGAGGTTAGCTACGCCTGCATTCGTTTCAGCAAGTAGATATTCATATATTTAAATGGACCTTGTTGGAGCATACGTAATCCTAAAATGTAGCATCGTACTACAGATGGCGTTTACCGCTCCATTTGTGGTATTTTCTATAGTAATAGCGACACGCAGCGGGAGAAGATTGTAAAAATCTTCTCCATTGATAGCTTAAAAGTAGGCACATTACTTGTCTTATTAAAACTTACAATAATCGTGTGTGGTCTATCGATTGATGTATCAGAATATTTTCAATATATTCAAAGGTAGATATAATGTGATTTGCTAAAACATTTTAATTTAACTAATTTTTCGTAAGTATTGTTAAAACACATGTACATATTTTCATGCGAGATCGAAAATAGAAAGATGTTTTTTTTGGGACCTCTAATATATTTATATGTAGGTATATTTATTCATTCCCTTTTAAATTATTCATCCCCTATTCTTTACGCAATTCATCCGATTAGCCTTCTCTTGCTAAGGGTAGAGCAACGAATTCAATTTGTTGGAAAATTCGGGCTGTTGACGTTAAATGTTTTAGGAAATGTTGAACTCGAGCAGCACTTGCAAAAAAAAAGATTTGCATTCTTTCATGGTCCGGTATTCAGTTACAAGAAATTCCAAACTGAGGTTCAACCAACTGTACGAAACACTAAGTTGTTATACCTAATACACCCGTTGAAGGTGAAACAATTAAAACAAAGCAAATACTATACAATATAAGAACGGAATTTTTAGTATTCGATACTGACGTTGAAACAACGTTTCGAGTCATCCATTTTAAAAAGGTGTTACAGGCGAATGATGAGGATACCATGGATAGAGAAGGTTAGAAATGAAGAGGTATTAGAAAGAATAGGAGAATAGAGGACTCTATGGAAGTCAATAAGAAATAGGCGAGATAGGTTAGTAGGACACTTTCTCCGGCATGAAGGTCTAGTCAGAGGCAGAAACGGAAGTTAAGGGGGGTTGAAGTAGACCTAGAATTAAATTACTGGCAAATAGGTAAGGATGTGGGTTGTTCTAGTTTCAAGGGAAATTCGAAGATTAACTCAGGATAAGAGAGAGTGGAGGTGCGTGTCGAACCAGTCTTGGGACTGACCTTATGATGATGATGACAGAAAATTGGGTGGCACCGGTGTATGGAACTGAAATAACTGCAAGGAGAATGCAATATTTATCTTTCAATAGATATAGTTATTACTGAAATATTTCGAGTTAAAGAAAATTTAAAATTATAGTAATAGCGAATAAAGCATCGTACTACAGATGGCGTTTACCGCTCCATTTGTGGTATTTTCTATAGTAATAGCGACACGCAGCGGGAGAAGATTGTAAAAATCTTCTCCATTGATAGCTTAAAAGTAGGCACATTACTTGTCTTATTAAAACTTACAATAATCGTGTGTGGTCTATCGATTGATGTATCAGAATATTTTCAATATATTCAAAGGTAGATATAATGTGATTTGCTAAAACATTTTAATTTAACTAATTTTTCGTGAATCTTGTTAAAACACATGTAGATATTTTCATGCGAGATCGAAAATAGAAACATGTTTTTTTTTGGGACCTCTAATATATTTATATGTAGGTATATTTATTCATTCCCTTTTAAATTATTCATCCCCTATTCTTTACGCAATTCATCCGATTAGCCTTCTCTTGCTAAGGGTAGAGCAACGAATTCAATTTGTTGGAAAATTCGGGCTGTTGACGTTAAATGTTTTAGGAAATGTTGAACTCGAGCAGCACTTGCAAAAAAAAAGATTTGCATTCTTTCATGGTCCGGTATTCAGTTACAAGAAATTCCAAATGAAGGTTCAACCAACTGTACGAAACACTAAGTTGTTATACCTAACACACCCGTTGAAGGTGAAATAATTAAACAAAGCAAATACTTTTCAACCTGTTTTGCGATAATAAATGAACAATTAAATAAACAACTAGAATGTTTTTTTGCCTCAAGGATCCATAATTTCGTCACTTCGCAAAAGAAAAGAAAATTCTCAAAACAATTTAGTACATTGTACACTTTGTCTTTACAACAAAACTCAAGCAAATGAACATAGAAATACAATATAAGAACGGAATTTTTAACATTTAATACTGACGTTGAAACAACGTTTCGACATCCATTTTAAAGAAGGTTTTTCACCCGCACGTAAACTTTTTCTTACCCTGGCTTTCAATGATTAATCCATTCTTTACAGAAATTTAGGTTATGAATATATGGGTTTTAAGGCAAATTTAATCGCAAGTTCTAGTGATACCTAGATTATAGGAGTTCTTAGTAGTAAAGAGTTTCGTTATAGAGTTGCTTGATCCTGTATTTGATTTGTAAATTGAAAAAAATCGCAAGAAAGAGGTATATAATAGAAGAAAAATATAAATATCGTACCTACTACAACATAAATCTACCTATAAATATACATATAACCGTTGTTTATGGTTCCCACACATGAAATCATACATTCTATGGTTCCGCTAAATACTTTAAATCATCCTACGTATTAGAAAGTAACTACAGAGGAAGTGTAGCGTAGTATTTGTCAGCGGCCTGCTAGTTTCTTAACTTTTAAATGTTAACGTAACTGGCTCGTTGGTCTAGGGGTATGATTTTCGCTTAGGGTGCGAGAGGTCCCGGGTTCAAATCCCGGACGAGCCCAAGTGTTTTTTAAAGTATTTTTACTCCAAACATTATCACTGAACTCAATTGTTATTAACTGTGAAATCTCGTTTCAAACTGTTCTATGTTATAGCCGAAATACCTATTGTAATCGTTTTTAATATATTAGCAAGTCTGTTAATTCTACCTAAGAACGTGTAGAATGAAAATGAATAAAATGCAAAATAGTATGCTACGTAGAATTATACAAAAAAATAGTAATTTCCGTATCAACTTAATTCATAAATGACAAAGAGCTAAGGATTTAGTCTTTAAAATCGTTTTTAATGGATAATGAAGTTATATAATGCCGACTGAGTCCATCATAAAGAATTGCGCTAAATAAAAATCCATCCGTGGGAATTTCTAATAATAATTCGATAAACAGGAGGTACCTAAACTGTAATAAAATATGCGTCCAATAGTATGTTCCATACTCGCCGATATAGAAAGTCATGAAAGGGGAGGAAACGTAGGGAAAGAGCGAATATAAAGGTAGGAGACGAAAGGTGAGAAAAAGTGGCTGATTTTCGATATCTTAGAAGTCAGATAACTCAGGAAGGAAGGAGCAATAGAGATATAAAACAGAGATAGCCCAAGGTCGAGTCGCCTTCAACAAAAAGAAGTCACTTCTATACTCGCAAACGGTTCATTTAGAAATTCTAAAAAGATTGTTAAAGGTGTATGAAGGTTAGAAATGGGGAGGTGTTAGAAAGAATAGGAGAACAGAAGTCCTTATGGAAATCAATAAGAAATGGGCGAGATAGGTTGGTAGGACATCTTCATAGGCATAAAGGGCTAGTTAGAGTCATACTAGAAGCAGAAACAAGAGTTAAGAAGAGTAGAGGTAGATCTAGATTAGGTTACCGTTCACAAGTAATTAAGGATGTGAGGTGTTCTTGTTTTAGGGAAGTGCGAAGATTAGGTCAAGATAGGAAACAGTGGTAGTGTTTGTCCAATCAGTCGTACGACTAACGTTCTTATGATAGTGATGATGGATTGAATACGGTACTTACTCTGGGAATGTTATGTTGATGCCCTTGGGAACGTAGCATCTTTGTCTAAGGATTCCTTGCCATAATTGCACGCCAACAATTCCGAAAATGAAAAAGANTTAATCGCAAGTTCTAGTGATACCTAGATTATAGGAGTTCTTAGTAGTAAAGAGTTTCGTTATAGAGTTGCTTGATCCTGTATTTGATTTGTAAATTGAAAAAAATCGCAAGAAAGAGGTATATAATAGAAGAAAAATATAAATATCGTACCTACTACAACATAAATCTATCTATAAATATACATATAACCGTTGTTTATGGTTCCCACACATGAAATCATACATTCTATGGTTCCGCTAAATACTTTAAATCATCCTACGTATTAGAAAGTAACTACAGAGGAAGTGTAGCGTAGTATTTGTCAGCGGCCTGCTAGTTTCTTAACTTTTAAACGTTAACGTAACTGGCTCGTTGGTCTAGGGGTATGATTTTCGCTTAGGGTGCGAGAGGTCCCGGGTTCAAATCCCGGACGAGCCCAAGTGTTTTTTAAAGTATTTTTACTCCAAACATTATCACTGAACTCAATTGTTATTAACTGTGAAATCTCGTTTCAAACTGTTCTATGTTATAGCCGAAATACCTATTGTAATCGTTTTTAATATATTAGCAAGTCTGTTAATTCTACCTAAGAACGTGTAGAATGAAAATGAATAAAATGCAAAATAGTATGCTACGTAGAATTATACAAAAAAATAGTAATTTCCGTATCAACTTAATTCATAACTGACTAAGAGCTAAGGATATAGTCTTTAAAATCGTTTTTAATGGATAATGAAGTTATATAATGCCGACTGAGTCCATCATAAAGAATTGCGCTAAATAAAAATCCATCCGTGGGAATTTCTAATAATAATTCGATAAACAGGAGGTACCTAAACCGTAAAAAAATATGCGTTCCATACTCGCCGACATAGAAAGTCATGTAAGGAAAGAAAATGTAGGGAAAGAGCGAATTTAAAGATAGGAGACGAAAGATTAGAAGAAGTCAAATAACTTATGATGGAAAGAGCTATAGAGATATAAAACAGAAATTCTAAAAAGATTGTTAAAGGTGTATGTCTGGAGAGCAGCACCTTGAGGGTGCCAAAACATGGACGGTAGGCGCGACCTAAAAGAAAAGGTTACAAGCGTTCGAATTTTGGTGTTACAGGCGAATGATGAGGAAACCGAGGATAGAGAATGTTAGAAGTGGAGAGGTATTAAAAAGAATAGGAGAACAGAAGTCACTATGGAAGTCAATAAGAAATGGCCGAGATAGGTTGGTAGGACATCTTCATAGGCATGAAGGGCTAGTTAGAGTTATACTAGAAGCAGAAACAAGAGTTAAGAAGAGTAGAGGTAGATCTAGATTAGGTTACCGTTCACAAGTAATTAAGGATGTGAGGTGTTCTAGTTTTAAGGAAGTGCGAAGGTTAGGTCAAGATAGGAAACAGTGGTGGTGTTTGTCCAATCACTCGTAGGACTAATGTCCTTATGATAGTGATGATGGATTGAATACGGTACTTACTCTGGGAATGTTATGTTGATGCCCTTGGGAACGTAGCATCTTTGTCTAAGGATTCCTTGCCATAATTGCACGCCAACAATTCCGAAAATGAAAAAGACGAAAAAGCACAGAAGTAGGACGTTACCCAACATGGGCAACGTGTCTAGTAGCAANTGGGCTCGTCCGGGATTTGAACCCGGGACCTCTCGCACCCAAAGCGAGAATCATACCCCTAGACCAACGAGCCGGTTGTTTAAACAAATACAGCGAAATAATCAAGCAAGCCGGTAAAAAACAGTAGCCTACTTTCTCTAATAACAGTTGCAGCTACTATCGTGGTCTACGTCTGGTTAGATCACCTGTAGCGTCAAAAAGCTGTTAGCATTACAACATTTTAAATGACCTTTTTACTTGTTCTTGAGTTCTTTGCCTGAGAAATGAAAATATCTTAAAAACGAGTGATATTATTTCGTTATAAAATTCTGTGGATTTACTATCGAATATGAAAATAAAGGATTTTTATAAATGGCCGAATATTGGACTGTGCATATTTTAAACAGTATAAATACAGATAAGAGTTTACCTTAAGCTATAAATCAGTTTCAATATGTTTTACAGAACTTAAAATTTTCAGTTATACAAAGTTTAAAAAAATTATGTGTATATCATCTCAAAATATCAAAAAACTGGGCTCGTCCGGGATTTGAACCCGGGACCTCTCGCACCCAAAGCGAGAATCATACCCCTAGACCAACGAGCCGGTTGTTTAAACAAATTCAGCGAAATAATCAAGCAAGCCGATAATTTTATTATTCTGTACTTTCACTTCGTTCTGGCTTCTATTAGTATGCAACGTGGGCACAGTAATGCTATAGATAGTTACAGTGTGGACCACATGTGTGACACAAGGAACATATGGAATGCAATGACCCACAACATTCGGAATTCCTTTTGGAGGAGCTCATGTTATTGTCAAGATGATTGTGTTTAAACAAGTGAATAAATCACTGCCTGCCATATTGTAATTGAGTTAAGGAAGTTGTTTAAATGTTAAATGGAAAAATATCTTGATGAATTTAACTGGTCCATGCATTGCAGAGACGTTGCTAGCTTTTTTTTGGCATGAGATTGTAGATATTCTTGATTTCCATAAAAATAACAGTGTAAATAAGCAATCTCACATCTCGAACATTGCAGAAGATTCTGAACATTGAAATCAATATAAGAAAATATTCTAATTTAGTGTTAGAACCACACTGCTTCACCATTCAAACAATGGTCCTCGAACATTCCAGGAGGTTCCGATCCTTCCGATCGAGTTCACTCTAAAGTTGAGCGCAATTCCAGACGTTTGAGGACGTTTAAGTTGAGGACAACACTAGCAAAATTTGAAAACATTCTAGTACATTTTTATTTATTCAAAAGTAGTGTTTGGTGGCTGCTGGTCGATCCGCAAACCTGCACGCCCACCAAACTAGAGAAATGCGAAACATTATAGAAGATTTCACACTTTTTTGTAGATATTGGTCGAAATATGAACATACTCCAAGTCGGCAAATCTTAAAATTTATAAACCTAACCTAACCATTGTGTGCATATATATTTATTCGCGTGTTTATTCCATTCCCTGATGTATATCTATGCCATTCTTGATCATCCGAAGGTCAGAAAATGAAATTTTTCCGAGATAAATCGCAAATTAAACAAAAAGTCTTATATTATGCGAAGTTGAATACTGACGATTTTAAATTTTACGTTTTATGACAATTTCAAGTTAAAACAATATTCAAGGTGTGCGAACACAATAATCCGGTACATCCTTGCATGAGCCTTGGTCCATCCGGGGGAACACACAACTTCATCCCTGATTTATTGTAGGTATCACATTTTGCTAAACTGAAGTATGTTTTATGTGGGACATCCTGTCTGTGATATTCTTTCGTCAAACATTTGTTTATGTTTGCTCAATTTATTGGTGGTATTAGGTAGGCATATTAGCGTATATTTTGCTGATAAAAACATTTTTTGATACTGTATCTGCATTGTATGTACAGGTATACGTAATGTAAGTTTATTGTGCTCTTTATTTACAACAAATTTTCACCTTCACTTTCAACAAATGCAAAATAAAATGAATTATTACATTAAACACTAATATACCTATATCAAATGATATGGTACAATGACTTTTTATTGCATTTCTAGATAAATATGTATAAAAAAATTTTAAAATAAAAAAATTATTGGGCTCGTCCGGGATTTGAACCCGGGACCTCTCGCACCCTAAGCGAAAATCATACCCCTAGACCAACGAGCCAACTGACAAAAACTTCCCATTTTATTTGTCAGTTGCTGACTGGAAATGTCGAATCCCACCATTACTGTTAGCCATCAGACTATTAAAATTCCTTCACAGACAAAATTTCTGAATAGTTAACACATCTACTATTTTTTCTGGTATATAGTTGTCAATAAATAATTAAGACTGGTGTAAACATGATACTGTAGTACCACTATCATAAATTATTTCAAATAATAATTTAAAATTTCGTTTTGGTGGTACCTACTTAAGGTATTTTTTATGTTTTCTTCAAGGTGATTGAGCTTAAATCTAAAAAGTTTCACTAGAAAATAAAGTTATTTTTATATATTCCTAGGCCTTGATAAAAGTTTTCATTTGAAAAAGTTTTTACGTTTAAAGAAATCAAGTTAGTGTATGATCCTCTCTGTCTATTCAGATGTCTTACTCTTACATTTCTCTAGCATCTCCTTTACTGATAAAAGTTGAATATCCTGATGACCTACGGATTATTATTTCATGATAAGAGTTTTAGAAAGCGGCTCGTTGGTCTAGGGGTATGATTCTCGCTTTGGGTGCGAGAGGTCCCGGGTTCAAATCCCGGACGAGCCCAGTTTTTTGATATTTTGAGATGATATACACATAATTTTTTTAAACTTTGTATAACTGAAAATTTTAAGTTCTGTAAAACATATTGAAACTGATTTATAGCTTAAGGTAAACTCTTATCTGTATTTATACTGTTTAAAATATGCACAGTCCAATATTCGGCCATTTATAAAAATCCTTTATTTTCATATTCGATAGTAAATCCACAGAATTTTATAACGAAATAATATCACTCGTTTTTAAGATATTTTCATTTCTCAGGCAAAGAACTCAAGAACAAGTAAAAAGGTCATTTAAAATGTTGTAATGCTAACAGCTTTTTGACGCTACAGGTGATCTAACCAGACGTAGACCACGATAGTAGCTGCAACTGTTATTAGAGAAAGTAGGCTACTGTTTTTTACCGGCTTGCTTGATTATTTCGCTGTATTTGTTTAAACAACCGGCTCGTTGGTCTAGGGGTATGATTCTCGCTTTGGGTGCGAGAGGTCCCGGGTTCAAATCCCGGACGAGCCCAAATTTTTAATATTTTGAGGTTATGTATAAGTTTCCACAACTTTGAGAAACTTTGAATTCGAATTTGGTGTATATTTTATGGTGTATTTTGTAGATTTTATGATGAGGATAGCGTGGGTAGAAAAAAAGGAGGATGTATTAGAATGAGTAGGCAAACACAGGGCGCTATGAAAGTCAATAAGAATTAAACGAGATAGGTTGGTAGGACACTTTCTCAAGTGTGAAGGGCTAGTTAGAGACATTTTAAAAGCAGGAACCAAAGTTAAGAGGAGTGGAGGTAGATCTAGGTTCGATTAGTGTTCACAAATAGTTGAGGATGTGGGATGTTCTAGTTTTGGGGAAATGAGAAGAATACTTCAAGATAGAAAAGAGTGGAGGTGCGTGTTCAACCAGAACCAACGACCCCAAGATGACGATAATTTTGTAGCTTAACACTACTTCAGGATATTAAATCATTGAAGGTGCTTTGACTTTAAATTCTAAATAAACATTGTTATTTGGCTCGGTTAGGTTTGTGATTGAGATATCTTATTATTTTAATGATGTAGGACAATTCCTCTTTTTGAAAGCATTAATGTATGGAAAATCCAAAAACAGAATCAAAAAGGAAAATAATTATTTTCATTTTTCAATTATGAACTCTGACCTGACTCCAGAAAAAAAATATGACAGATCGCAAACAAATCCTAGTCTCAAAATCAAACAAGCTTAATTAGGATAAGATGTTTCAAAATCTGGGCAATTATTATTATTACCTCAAAGGAGGTTGAAAATTGAAATTATGCATTTTGAGTCCAGATTCAGCTTCAGTGTAACAAGTAGATACTTCGCCCCGTGACCCGTGTTGATAATTGGAAAGGAATCGCAGCTTTAGATTCTTTTAGTTTATTCCAAAATATGATTTATTTAGCAAGAATGTTTTTCTAATCTGCAGGTAAAATTTTTACAGTTAATCCACTGAGCATTAGTTTTTCTGCATTATCGAATTGCATTATTATGGAAACGTGAAGTGAAATGTAATCTGTGCAGTGGATGTTCTGAACACATAAAATACGGTACGAGACGATTCAAACTTACTTGGTATTCTATTTATTGCTCTAAGAGGTCTCAGCACCCGTATGGTTCTTATCGCGGACAAGTTCATATTGTCAACGTGAAGACAATACTCGAAAGCTCCTGCTAATACTATAAAGAGGTCTAGTCTGTTCCAAGAGTCTGCTAAATACGAACCGGGACCCCACACGCCCATCGCCACCATTTTTATCATCATCTCTAATGTAAAGAAGGCAAATATAAAATCGTCGAACACCTGCAATAAAAAAAAAAAACAATGAAATAGACACCTCAAAAATAGATCACAATTAAATCCGAAATTTTGTACAGTGACATTTGGTTTACGTTAATGGTCAATTTTGAAAAATCTTGGTTAAAAAACCAGTTCTTTTATTAGTTTATTTAAATAATATTGAGGTTCTTGGTCAGAAAATTGGAACTACCAAACACGGATTGCGATCTCGAACTCTTTTAGTTCCCAAGTAACAAGTTTATGTAATATCCAAATAGATGCAGTGTATCTCCATCTGGTGGATATTTACCGCCACTAAAGTATTTCATTTGTTAGACAAGGCATTCTTAAGGTATTTAAACTTGTTCAACTGAATCGGCGAGGCAGCTTTCATACGTGATAAACAGGTAAAATAATTAATAAGAACATGTAGGTTCTTGATCAGAAATTATCAGACGTCAATCGCGATTTCGACCTATTTTAGATTTTCATATCACATATGAAAACTGGCAAAATCGATTGATAAGTTTAAAAACCGTAGTAAGGCCTTGTGTAGCACGTAATACCCATCAGATAGTTTATTCCACATATTTGATAATAAAATGCAACAACTTCGCCTTCTTAATTTGACTCCGTTACAAAAAGCATCATTGCCGACAAAAAATTTACAGTTTTATTTACCTAAATACAATACTGCTTCACCAATTTCTTATTGTTATGAAATTTTTAAACTCCTCTTTATCGTTTTGTTTAAAAATTAGTTAGCTTTTAAGTAGTCGGTTAAGTCTGAATTTTGCCTGGTTTATTTGTCAAGTAAATTGAAATACCAAAGAAACGAAAATTGCTTACGTATTAATTAGAAACACAGTTGGGAATTTCAGGAATGAGCAAAATCTAAATCTTTCTCGTTATCCTGGTCCATTAAGTAAACCGAATCGTTCGCTAATGCGTAATCGATGTAATAACCAGAAGTTTACAAAGTGAAAATCAGGAAAGGGAAAATTGAACATTTCTCTTCCGATGGTGATACAATTTCAATTAATTCAAATCGTTCTTGGAACATTTACTTTTTTTTTTTTCGATTTTGCTGACTTCGTTCTTCCTACTTAATGGACGTGTTTAATCTCTACCAAATCGATTTTCTTAAATATTCGATATCTTGAACATTATCAAGTTCATATTAACTGGTGTATTAAATAACTAACTAAAGTAGAATAATTTAAATTTTCGTACCTGAAGTATTTTACACCTATTCGTCCTGCATTCATCATCCACACAGGGCTGGTACATTCCTAAAGTAACACAGTTGAGCAAAATGACCATCATGGATATCCTTTCGAACCATGTATAGGAGAGTTAAGGAAAATTAAGCATTTTGTTGTTGTAATACATATTAAATAAACATACGGATATCTTTTGCAAGATTTATAAGTACACATTTAGGCTTAAAATTAATTTACATGATTAAAATGAATTGAAAAGTTACTATATGGTTTATTGACTCTATCTCCNCTACAAAATTTCAAACCTCTGTTCCAAACATTGAACTCATGATATCTAGAACCGATAATCATGTTTTTACTCTACGGCGCGTGTACTACTGAATCCCCTTAATGTATCGTCCGGCATCTTTTTAGTATGCACTTGGCTTGTGCCGAGGCAACTTTTATAAAAGATGTAACAGAGTGGACTAGTTTCAAAATTCAAAACAAGAAAAACACCAAACTTTTTTAAACCCTTGCCTAAAATTTATAAGCCTAAATAACGATTAATTTTAATTGCGAATTTATCAATACATTGATTTTATTTTGATACATATTGGTTTTATTTTGGAACCGTAGAACGTATCCCTGTACAGTATTGATGATGACAGTGTGACTGAAACTATTGCAAAGTTTTTTAGACATCATCAAAATAGAAAAACATTGTCAAGTGTTTCAAATTTATTTCAATTTCTGGAATTCTAAAATAAACTCAATCTGTTTTACATTATAATAATAGAATAGAATCGCATATCTTGCGAAAACCTAATATCCATTGAGTTTCACAGGGCAATTAGCTGAATTGGATCGTGATCGGCTTGTGAATATCCATTATTCCAAACAGGACCGTCATATAACTGCCCTTTATCCTCTCATCGAGAATTTTATTGTTCCTTTTATAACACCAAAGTTATCGTTAATGTCGTATAGACTGTAGAAATGTTTACAGTTATTGTTTCGTTTAGTGGCACTAATGGATTTTAATAGTAAAATATCGACGGAATGGGTAGAAATTTGAAACAAAAGAAACTAAAACATTCACAATTATAGTCACTCATTGATATAATTTCTATTATTTTGTACTAGGTTGAACTTTTAGATTTCAGTGACATATTCATGATGGATATATTTGCAAACAACTTTACAGCAGAATAAAAAATCCTCGCCAAACATGAGCCGTATAGCACAAATCTAAGAGGCCGCTATTTTTATTTTAGTTTCCCGTTTAATTAACATAGGAAAAATTCTTTTTTGTTTTAAATTGAATTTACACATAATGTACGCAATTTTTTCCAAAAAACCGTTTCATATTCTCAAAGTTGAGTCTTTGAGCTTTACAAAACTCTAAGACAAACTATGATTATCTTTACAAAAAGACTAGATACAGCCATTTAAAAATTACTAAATTTTGAAATTTGAAAAAATAGCTTGCAATTATTATTTTTTTTGCATAATCCTCCAAATTTTTACTCAAACTATTAGTAAGTATTGTATTTTTATGTATTACAAATTTCAAAAATGGATAATTAATATAAACTAATATAGAACAAAATTATAATCCATGATTACTTGTAATCATACGATTAATTCATTTATCTTATTATTATCATGTGTGCTGCCACCTACACTACGTACTGAGAACCAT